GTAGCTAAAGAGAATAGAATTAAACAGCCTGCTTCACGTGGCTCATCCAGTATATTTCTTCATCCTACGCGAATATCAATAACAATATCATAACGATAATACGTGGAAATATTTTCTGAAACTACGTCGAAGTGTATTTACGTATAAAACATCGCACGCAATAAGTAATTTGAGGTTAAACGACAATTAAAAATAACGAACGGTGCAGATCTATCGGGACGAGTGATATTGCAATTTTTGCGAGCGCGTGATGCGTATCGAATGGATTATGCATGGATTAAGTTGAAAAGACCAGCATCCATTTTTTCGAACGGGTGTGATAAAGCGACAGGTTGTAAATCAACAGACACACACAATGGTTTTTGTATCACGTATGATGGATAGCTTGAGATAATAAAATATTTGCACGTAATTTCTTACGCGTGTTATCTTAGATTGAAATCCTCCTTTTTTTCTTCTCCTTTTCACTTTCCTCGTAACATCTAGATCATTTTTATCGTTCAGACAGGTGTGATGCATTTTTTTTTTCTTTTTCTGCTGCGCTGTTTGGCGTTCTGAGCCGATATACATAGTAGGTGGTCGTGTGCAGTTTCACGTGTGTCTATCAATCTTTCTTATCACCGATTGTGCAATTTCTTTGTTTCGTATAGAATACGATGAGTTATTTATAGTAATTTAGTTACTGGTGATTCCTCACTTTTTCCATGATTTTTTAACGAGATTATGCAACGTTGCTGCAAATTGCAGAAGGAAAGGGTCGATTATCAGAAATAGATGTACATAATCCAACGGTTATTGGCCCGTAAGTCAATAGCTCTGAGAATCGCCGTCGAAACGATAAAGGTGACTTAGTTAGATATGCTTTTAATGATCTAAAAATATCAATGACTTGTGTGCTCCAGTACCTTTTGTTTTCTTCGAATTCGATGCACACCGTCGATTTTCACGAATAACGAGTTGCAAGTATTTTCTCTTGGTTGTTTTCATTGTTGAAGGAATATCGACGTAAAAGTGCCCAAAAGTCAAAGTAGCATTTTACACATTTTGTTAGATCTCGATGGAAATGAATTTCATGTTTAATTTTAATTTTGGGGGTCGAAGGTCAATTCGAAAACATGTCTGAACGCATTTCAGTATCAGCTGCAATATTCAAGGGAAACAAGTATCCACTTATATGCAAAAAATATCGGTGACCTTGAAAACCCCGAAAAAATGACCTTGGTACAAAAATTTTCTTCGTAGCCTATTCGTCGTTTGATACCATTCAAATTGCATGCAAAATATTTATTGCATCGTCAGAACTGAAGAAGATATTTAGATGGGACACTCTGTATATGTTTCAATACAGAAACAACATAAATATCAATGATTAGAGTAAGAAAACCGCCAAAGAACCAGCGTATCGTCTGTACATGTGACTGTCACGGGGTCACATAAATTTGACGTTTCGGGCGAGAGCATTAAGTGGTTAATCGTTGACAGCTGCGGGTTAATTTTGATAAATACGGGAATTATGATTGAGCAGGGGGCGGTACAGGCTTGATACCGCGTATCTTAAATGAAAGATTGCAGGCAGAAATTTTAGATATCACTTCGCAAATGATTCACTGCACGAATGAGTCGCCGCTTAATATTTCAATTTACCATCTCACTATACATATTTATTTCACCGACTATACTTAAGCAGAAACACGTGGAAAAAAGAAATATGGAAAAAAAGAAAAATCTGCAATGTACAAGGAAAAGAATTCGAGAGAAAATAAAATTTCATACTAATGACACCGTGGTTATCGTGTAGCATAAATTTTAATTATCAATTCACAAATAATGGACTGCCCTGAGTGTGACTAGATCAATCGGTGTCGTCGCTTAATACTTTAATTTGCGACCCTACTATGTTTCTTCCACCAACTATACCAAAAAGTCAAAGTAACGTTCTACGCATTCTGTCAAGGCTCAACTTCTATCGATAACACTTCTTTATCAAAGCATAATTTGACAAGGTTTATCTGTCTCCTTCGAAAGTTAATGAAACATTTTCTTCCTCGTCCAAAAATCATTCACAAAGCGCACTCTAATTTACCACCTCACTCTATCGCTTCCACCAACTATACCTAAAAGTCAAAGTAACGTTCTACACTTTGTGTCAACGTATAACTTCTATCGACAACACTATTATTATTTTCGTCCTCGTTCAAAAATCATTCACAAAGCGCACTCTAATTTACGACCTCACTCTATCGCTTCCACCAACTATACCTAAAAGTCAAAGTAACGTTCTACGCATTCCGTCAAAGCTCAACTTCTATCGATAGCACTTCTTTATCGAAGCATAATTCCATAAGTTTTATCTTTCTCCTTCGAAAGTCATTATTATGGTTAATGAAACACTTTCGTCCTCGTCCAAAAATCATCCGCGGAGCGGGCAATGTAGCGGAAATAACGGCACGGCCGTGCTACGTGCAGGAATTGCGAAGATAAAACGCGACAGAAGGCTTGTCTGGCTACTACAAGCTGATTCTACTGTTGGGAAAATTCACACGTACGTGTAGCGCGGGACTCTCATTGTTCGTGCTTAAAATCAAACCAGAGGCGCCATATGTGCAATTTTAGGATTAAAGATTTCCTCTCGAGCAAATATTCCGCTCGTGTTTCCGCGGGTTAATGAAACACTTTCGTCCTCGTCCAAAAATCATCCGCGGAGCGGGCAATGTAGCGGAAATAACGGCACGGCCGTGCTACGTGCAGGAATTGCGAAGATAAAACGCGACAGAAGGCTTGTCTGGCTACTACAAGCTGATTCTACTGTTGGGAAAATTCACACGTACGTGTAGCGCGGGACTCTCATTGTTCGTGCTTAAAATCAAACCAGAGGCGCCATATGTGCAATTTTAGGATTAAAGATTTCCTCTCGAGCAAATATTCCGCTCGTGTTTCCGCGTGAAAAAAACGTCGATGTTGGAAGCGAAACGGCACTTGCGTTACTCTTTTCATGTAATATTCAATGAAAAAGCCGGAGTGATTAGAATTGGTATTAGCTTATCGATGTCCTAGAAACTAACTGCAAGTATAAACGACGTACTGTACATAAATTACACGTGTTATTGCAAGACGTAATGCATGCCTCGATGTTAACTTTAATCGATACCGATTGAAATCAGGAAGTGTTTCTCTAACGGTTGTTAAAAGAGGAACGAATTATCTTTTTTTCTTCTTCTTCGTTTTTTTTTTTTTTGCTTTTTCGTCACAGATCCAGTTCTCTCGTGCAGCCTTCGTCTTCGTATCATTAGTGCGTGCTGAATTTTCATAATTACGCAAGAGAAACCAGCGTGATGTTGCAAATAGCGGAAAAAACTAGACAACTGGATGATTTCTATTTTTAGGCGTTCGTTTTATGTCGTTCTTGTATCATGAAATTATAACCGTTCCTCTGAATATCTTTATTCGAGTTCTATTCACACACCAGCAGGTATTCGTAAAATGAATACCCGTTTTGTTATTTAAAAAAATTCGAGAAAAATTAAAAAATTCGCTTTTCCAAGTAATACGAAAATAACGCTAATTTTTTAAACGAATTTCAATTACTTTCGATAGAATACAAAATATTAGATATTTCGAAGACTAGTTTTTCTATTGTTTTGTGTAATAGAGGCAAAATTTTCTAGTTCATGCATTATGTTTTTGATGGATGAAACGAAATTCATTTTATTGGATATAATAGGAAATATTACACATTTCAAAGACCTTATTTCTTCCATTTTTCTCTGCAATAAAGGCAAAATTTCTTACTTCACGTATGGTATTAGGTCATCCATTAAGATTGTATCGAATTTCATAATTTAAATCAATATTTCCAGCGAACCTTTAAATTTAATAAAAAAAAAAGCGCAAACACCTTGTCATTCCACAAATTTTTCGAATTTTTTTTAACAAGGCCATTATATCGTCGCACAGTGGGCCAGGAACCCCCAAAAGTCAAGATTTCCTCCGATTTTTCTAAAACTTGGTAATTAGGGGTTTTCTAGGTCGCTGATAACAAATGTAACACTAAAAATTCAAAATTCAAAATATCGGTTCCACAACGGTTGACATAATACAAAAGAAATAAGATTTTCTAATAAAAACGCCTGTAGTCTGCCTAGAATTTCTGTAATTCTTTAATTACCATTTTGGCAACTTGGGGTGCTTTATCAGAGTGCCTCTCACTACTCGAGATGTTAAAGAATGTAAGTGAGTCGTCTTACTGCTATTTATGATTCTGTAGGTAACGTCAATCGTCTTTTATTGAACATATACTTAAAATTCTGTCAGTTCATTTGCCAGTTCAAGCTTACCTAATTGTGTGAAAGTGTATGGAAGATCTGTATTTTTACTCCCTTCGTCTTCATCTGCGTTCTCATGTCTTCACTGTCGCTATCGTTCCTGGCCCACTGTACGCCGCTACAGTATTTCCTTAGATTTTCATTAAAATATTTCTCGCTTTCGACACGAACCTACGCGACGACGCAATAATTTTCACGAACGAGATAAACTTCCCCTCAGATTTCGTTTTCAAACTGCCACGTAATTCGAGCTTTTCAAAGACACATCTCTCCTCCGTGAACAAACTTCCGTCCTTGGGTACCGTTTCACGCACCTATGCGAATCGCAATTAATTTCGCGTGGCCAACGTTTATCGCGACTACCGTCTCGCCTTAATCACGTGCAAAGTGATGAAAAAAATACGCGGCTGCGTTGCAACGAGGATAGTTGGATAGGGGACGATTTTATTAGGTATTGCACGTGTATTTAGGTAAACTTATTTGTGACGAGCGATAAGGTTCAAAAATACCATCCCTTATCTTTATGATTTCTGCTCCGTTATCAAGTGTAATCCCCCGTGGTATAAAGATGTAACAGTGCGTGCCGCAGATAGGTACGTCTGTATTTTAGTCGTCGGGAAAGTGTGACGCATAATCAAGGTACAAATTTATCGAGGGCCCCGAGTGTCGTATCGTAATATGGACGAGCTCAATGGTAAATTCTTCTGAACAAGTTTCGTTTTAATAATCATTTCGTACGGGATTGAAATCGTAGATTACTGAAGTGTTTCGCGGATTGTTCGTCAATTATATCAACGTATTTTATCGAATACACGAAACAACGTTCGTCGAACAGAGGAGGTGCTCCAAGTCGAAATTTATCGCGACTATCGAATCTGAAGATGATCGAAATCGTGATTTTGCATTTCATTTCGGATAAAGTTTCGTGATTTTATTGTCGTGAAAAACTGTGACGTGGAAATTGTGAGTTTCTTATTCAATTATACTCTTCTCACACTTCTTCGTACGTTTATCACACTTTTTTCTTAATTTTACACAAAAATTGTCAGCAAAAGACAAAAATGAATCTCTTTGATATATGATAATTTCAAATAATTTCTGATAATTCTATTCTTTTCTGATACACTTCGCGTTATTCTTCCATTCACTATGTTTGTACTTTTCATTCCATTTCTGATAATACTATCGCAAATATTTCATTTAATTTTGAAAGTATCCTCTTAAATTCTACTCTTTCCACACTTTTCTCTTAATTTTAAAAATTGTCAGCAGAAGAAAAACAAAAGAACGAATCTCTTCCATATACAATAATTTCAAAATTCCATTTCTGCTAAATTATCGCAAATATTTAATTCTCACCAGAAATTTTTTAAGTTTCTTCCTCAATTCTACTCTTTCCACACTTTTCCCTTAATATTGAAAATTGCCAGCAGAAGAAAAACAAAAGAACGAATCTCTTCCATATACAATAATTTCAAAATTCCATTTCTGCTAAATTATCGCAAATATTTAATTCTCACCAGAAATTTTTTAAGTTTCTTCCTAAATTCTATTCTTTCCACACTTTTCCCTTAATATTGAAAATTGTCAGCAGAAGAAAAACAAAAAAATGAATCTCTTCCATATACAAAAATTTCAAACAACGTTCGAATAACTGAACTCCAAGGTAACTTCTACAAATTTCATTTACGCAATTCCTGAAACACTACGGCGTTACTCTTCAATTCACGATGTTTGTGTTTTCATAAAATTCTCAGTATCTGTACATTCTGCCCGCTATTTTTACCACGGTTATTCAGCGATTACGCGCAAGCGAATTTCTCCGTTTCGACGCGGAAAGAACGCACGCCGGACCACATCCCCGTTGTAGGACATTGTTCGCGTTTCAACCGTGACACGGGCGTATCGGCAAAAATGGACGGCGTTAATATTTGATCGTTTCTTACTTCGAAAATAGCATACGGCGGGACAGAGAACTGACAGATATCGATTCGCGCGCGGCGCGACGATTGCCGATGCCGAGATGGCCTACCTTTGCGGCATATTCATTCTCGCGTAGCCTACTTTTCTCTCTTTCCCAGCCGAAGAATATTTATAGACTTTTACTCCGCGTGAGCATATTTATTCAGCACTCAAAACAAACGCGCGGCCGTTGATCGATTTATATTTCTCTGTATTTACGCGCTCTTCACTTCGTCGATTGCGATCGACATCACTGAACTTCAAACGTATGTACGTACACGCGACGCGAACTTCTGTTTGAACGTCAACAGGTAATTAACTCTCCGTCCTTTTTTCCTCTTTTTACCGTTTCGGACGTCGATAAAAATGCGTGTAAATAATCGACAACAAATAAGAAAATAATCGTGGAACGAAATAAATGTGAATTTAATTTTTGTTTGTTTGTAGCTATTTTCTTTGTTTTATTTTGTGTACAAATGGAGCCATATCCTCGGAAAGAAATAAATAGAAATAATATTCTCTTTGAGCGCTTTAATATCAGGAAAAACGAAATAAAAGAGAATTTAATTTTCGTTTATTTGCAACTAGTGATAGGATCGATACTAATACTGTTGATGATATTCAATCAATTCGATACCAAAGTACTCGATAGGAAGTATCGATATCTATTGAAATTTTAAGTACTTGGTATCAATTTTCGATACTGATATCTCTTGAATCGATATCTAATCGAAAAGTACTCACATCGAATCGATACCCCTTTGATACCTCATGAAAGTATCGATACTTGTTAGATACTTCTATGAAAAAAAAAAACGATAAACGGTATCGATAAACGTTTCGGTGAAATGTTAAAGATTATCGAGAATTCGGTAGATATGAAACGGATATTGAAATTTTCATGTTAGTATCAAATGGATATCGATTCTTCCATAAGGTATGGAACGACTATCGATACCTTCATAGAAGTATCAAACGGGCGTCGATACCTTCATAAAAGTATCGAACGGGTATCGATACTTTCATAGAAGCATCAAAGGAGTATCAATATTTTTGGTACTTACGTCTTCGATACTATTCGATACGGTATCATAATTTACGGTCTAGTATCGATAGTGTCGATTCGGTATCGGTCTGATCACTATTTGCAACCCTCTATATTTTCTTTGTTTTATTTCGTGTGCAAATGGAACCATATCCTTGGAATGAAATAAATAAAAATAATATTCTCTTTTAATGCTTTAATATTAGGAAAAGCAACAAAAGGAAATTTAATTTCTTTTCGTTGCAACTATGCATACTTTCTTTATTTCATTTTCTGCACAAATGGATCCATATCCTTGGAAATAAATAAATAGAAAATAATATTCTCTCTGAGTGCTTTGTAGCGAGTGATCAAATTATTACGATCAGATTAAAAAGTTACACATTTGATGTTTTCAATAATAGTAAAATATGCCCTTTTGTTTTGTTCTTAACACATAGATAGACAATTTGATTATATTTCGACAGCCTTAACTAGCTAAACAAAAATTTAAATTCTATGGTGGACTGGGAAGTCACCGGATATGAGTACAATAGAAAACCTATGGGAACGATTAAAACGTGCATCAGAAATGATAACTAATAAACAACAAGTGATAGACGAGCATATATCTGCAGGAAAAGTATGGAAAGTAGACGCATTCAAGCAATCGTAAATGTGAACGATGGCTTGACGAAATATCCATATCTATATTTTATCAAAATTTTCAATAATTCCTAGAAATTTTAGAATTCCCTTTAAATATTATTAGAACCATAACAGTACATTTTATAATAAAAAAAAGTTTCACTTTAACTGTATTTTCAATTCCATTCTCGCTCAAATTTCAAACAATTAACACATAATTTCCAAGTGTTCCTAATAATTCGATCACCGACAGTAATATCGGCAAAAGATTCTGTTAGGGCTCGCGGTTGATCTTTCGATCGTTCAAGTTTTGCCGGTTTTTGCACGTGTGTGCCGACTAATGTTCTAAGGCTTCGAAGGACCAGTTTCTTGATTGAAACACTAAGTTTTTATTTTATGTTCTATTTTCTACAACTAATTCAAAATATAAATTCTACTGCGAAGTGAGAGGTGTTCCTCTTGCGAGTGGCCAAGTGTTTCTGCTGGAGTCTCTGCGGTTTCCCTCGACGAAGACTCTTATTTTCCTAAAAACACCCTGATTGGTGATTTTTCCTTTTCTAAATCACCAATCAGTTTACTCCGGTGCATCGCAACCTCCCTCCATTTCGCCCTTAGCGCGTTATCTTAGGATGGGGTAAACGACGACCGGAGAAAATGTTCGGTGGACGGATGCGTGGGAATCCTGTGGAATCTCCGCTTTTCTAGGCTTTGTTAAAGTCAAGCGGCCCATCGACGTTGGCAAAAGTCATGGGCCACTTTTCTATTTTCCGTTCGGAGACTCCAGGATTTATGGCAGGGTCTGGTCCTAGGGACTAAGTGTCGCAGGCAACGCAATAGACACTTGTGGTGTTCTGAGGAAGCGATATTTGCCTACGACGGCGACCACTTGACTCGCTGCCATAAATCCGGCTACAGGATACGCCTTAACAGATTCATTTTATCTATTCACGATTTAATTAACAATCACGAATAATAAATATTACCCACTTGTTTCCTTGTTTTCTCGCAATTATTGATTCTTCGTCTGCTCCCTGTTTGCGTTATTTTGTGTACAAATGGATCCCCATATTCGTGGAAAAAAGAAGAATAAACGAAAATGTTCAAATATTCTGTCCGAGTGTTCTTCAACGTCACGAAAAAGATCGAAGAACAGGGGTCACATTAGGATTAATTTGATCTATTCGCGGTTTTATTAATAATCGCGAACAACGTTACCGATATTCACGACGCGACAGTAGATAATAAACGCTCGGTCGGTACAGTTAGCTTTTTCCCTGAGAAACCGTTACTTATCATTCGTGCAATACCTGATTTTATTCCGCGTCACTTCTGTGACACCACGGAGGAAAGAGAATCGTTTCGTACGACTGACCCACTGCGACGAATGCGCTTCGTTCCTTTTTTCCGGTCGAAAATCCGCCAGCCTTAACGGTTCTTACCGACAGTTTTAATTTATCAGTCTCGCTCGAATCGCTATTAACGCGTACGTTTCGCCCTGAGATTTCCATGCGTTCACGTGTTCTTACGTGTTTCATTGAGAAGTCCAAGGAAACGTCCTTTTCTACTACGTCTCAAGCGTTGTACTATAGTAGGAGAACTTTGCTACGTAACTCGTGTTTTATTTGACAAAAACGAACGTTTCTCTGCCAATTTACGATGTTTTTCTCTGTAGCGTTTTTTAAACGGACGCAAACTTTTATTTGATTTTCGTGACATGTTTGAGAATGCTCTGTTTGTTAATTTTGGGCAAATATTGGAATATGAGAAAAATTGCAAGCAGAAATTACGAAAAATACGAAGTTATCGGTGATTTTTAAATATTGCTTTATTAAAAATTTCCTCGCCTTGAGTGTGATGTGATTGAGACAAAAATGACGTGGAATAAATATGCATATGTGCTCCTAAATTAACTTGATAATCTAGAACATAAATACACCGTGCATCTTAACAAGTCACAACCAATCATCTGAGGAATTACGATAGGATTCCACGAAAATTTCTTTCACGAATTATGCAACAATTGTTATCATCTTGCAACGTAAAAGATATTCTATCTATAGATAGTGATTCTACGCGAAATTCACCATAAATGACAATTTAACACTAGAACTCGGGTCAAAATAACCAATTTCATTTCCGAAAGAAATCATTTTTCATTTTCGAAAAAGAGTAATTTAAAGAAAAAGCAACTTTCGAAGAAAAAGTGATTGTTCGATAATGGTAAGCATCATCATTTGTAACTCTGCGAATTCTACACGTATGCTTCTATTTCAATCGGTATTAATCTAATTTCCCAGTCACGTTTTACTTCCATAAAAATTCACTTTCGGAAATTTTGGAAAATCGCTAAAATCGGGTCATTTTCGCCCGGCTAATAGTTCTAAATTTATTTTCTACCATAAATCTTCCAATCACGTTCTCCTTCCATGAAAATTCACTTTTGGAAAATCGCTGATTTTGGAAATTTTAGAAAATCGCTAAAATCGGTTCATTTTGTCCCGGCGGATAGTTCTAAATTTCTTTTCTACCATAAATCTTCCAATCGCGTTCTCCTTCCATAAAAATTCTCTTTCGGAAAATGGGACATTTTTACCCAACTGATAGTTCCACTGTTAAATGATAACAAATCAATACAAGGACTACACGAAATTATACGGTAAATTACAAACTCGTCAAATTTTTTCCGTTTCTTTTTTTTTTTGCATATTGCTAATAACTTACAGAAGCAGTTCACGTGACTATAAATAACAGATAGGGAAAAAATGGTATGTATGCACGGGATGTGTTCGACACATCGTGCGTGATCCGAGGCGAAGTTCAGAGTTCTTTTCGCATGTCATCGCGTATCGCACGAATCAATACCGTACGGCTAGAAATAAAGTACGCGGTAATATCCTCATCGTAGTTATATATAGATCCATTTTCTAAAATTGACCAATATCGCAAATAGCCGGTGTTCTTCGTCTAAGTACATACGTCAATTTAATCAAGATATACGGAAGTGGAAAATTATCTAAAAATAGGCCCTGGATATGTCTGAAGGCTTGTCCCTATAGAGTAGAATACTCTCGTACACTCGTTTAATGATTGTGACCGAAGTAAATGACAGACAGAGTTGGAAATGGCCTCGCTTTTCTCTGTAGGCTAAATATAGACGAACTCTTTTTTTTTTTTTGCGATAATTGTAGACTTGTGGGCTATTTGTGAGAATGTACGGTGAATATCGTGGAATGAAATTCTGGGCGAGAGGAGTTTTTGTTCCGTTGAAAAATTCAAACGCTTTGTCATGGAAGCACTGTCGTTGCTTTTACTATAGTCTTGTAGCTTACTAGCCTCTTGAAATTGAATCCGATGCTCTCAAGTGGATGAATGCTATTTTGTAACGATATCAAACGGCCAGCCAACTCTTACAAAATTTCGACTCGGGAGTGTTGGATTTAAGTTTAAGGAATTGGATCCTCTCGTGATTCAAATTTAAGTTTCCGAAATTTGAGTGCGAAAGTTTGAAAAGTTCAATTTCGATCATTCTAAATTCAAATTTAAATTTCAAAATTTCTAAATTAAACTTCGGAAATTCCAAATTCAAAT